GGCGTATTTATAATTTGTGCTATTGATAAAAAATCCTTCTAAATCCTCTGGGATTTTTTAGAAAATAATTTTTCGAGTTTGAACCTTCTATTTTGGGCAGTTTGGGAGACTTTTGCATTCTTGTTTTATTGTTCCACTGAAGGTAGCCGGAAGATTTTAGTCGGTGGGGGTGTGGCCATGTGACTTAATCGAGTTCAGTCGACCGCACATTGCAATTCCATCTAAACAGCCTATTAACTGGATGCGATGTCGATTCGATTTCAGCTTCTTACACTAAGAGCTTGTTCGAAAGTAAACATCGTCCATCGCTTCAAATAGCTTTTTCTTTTCCTCTTTCTTCTCCTTCAATCCTTCCAAAATTTTTTCTTCAGCACAATAATCCATGCATAGATCGCTCTCGAGATCGGATTAGCAGATTACATATCAATGCCTACAGTCTGGCCACAACAAAACTAATGGAAATATTATTAATATAAACATAACCCAATTACAGTATCTGGCCATATCGTGTTGCTCCGCCAGGTACCTGTTTTTTTTTTCGAAAAGCAGAAGTATAGATTGGGAAAGTTTAACGGTAGTGAAGAAAGCGAGAGAACTGGCCAATTTCGAGAAAAATATGGCTGCTCAAAAGTAGGGGAAGTAGAGGTTGGACGAGATTGTCATGACGGAATAACATGGAAGGAGTATCCGGACGAGATTTCAGTTATTGCAATTGCAGAAAGAGCTGAGTACATCAAGTCAGAACTGCACAGAACTGCCTTCCACTGTCGCTATGGCTCATTACAAGTTGTTTGAACTTCCTACATGGGTTCCCTTGTGATCGGTGCAGCCTCTACAGTGTCGGTGAAACTCGTCCGAGAATACACATAGGACAATGTTTGACCCTTTATTACGCCCTGACTAGGCCGTTTTCCGAACTATTAATGCCGGGTATGGTATACGCGGGGGCCTCAAATTCATCTTTTGGGGAAATCTCAGAATTCATTTTTATCGTGAATTGTGCCTTTAAATTACAAAACTGTAAACACTTCAAATATTCTCATGAAAAGGTTCGGTCGTTTGAGGAATAAGTAATAATTATTTTTTGAAAATTAACCCTCTCATGTTTCCAAAATATTTTTTTTGCTTTGGTAAAGACGAAAAATATGGCTGCTCAAAAGTAGGGGAAGTAGAGGTTGGACGAGATTGTCATGACGGAAATAACATGGAAGGAGTATCCGGACGAGATTTCAGTTATTGCAATTGCAGAAGAAATATTCTTATATTCTATATAGAAGTTATTCTATATAGAATAACTTATATATATTATATATAAGAGTTATAAAATTACTTATATTATATTCTTATAGAAGTTTACTAGTGTGGCTATCAAAATCATCCTTTTTTTGTCGTTGCTGCGATAAAACTTTTAGACCCAAATAAATTTTAGCCTGTAAAGAGATGCATGAGTCATATTCCTATAGCGCCTCCTGCAACGCTGAATGGGTCCTTCCCTGGAGGTGAAGGATCGAAAGAGCAATTCCAGTGCTACTCCTTTCGGCCCTATAATTGATATTCCCTTTGTTTAGCCAGTGTTGAGCCTTTGACCTAATGAGTAGATTAGTCGGTCGGAAGATCCACATTGGCATTCAAGGCCAGCTTACACGCATAATCCGAATGGGATAAACGTCATTTGTGCCAGCGCACAAAGAGCTATCTCTCC